AAAAAAATCAAAATGATTATTATATATATGTTTGCAAGTTGACCAGATGATGGTCCATTTTCAACAGTTCTCAGCTCCAAACCATGAATATATTACTTGCTAACAATTATCCATACAGTCCTATGACCCAAGCGTATGTATTCACTAGTGCATCCACTCTTGGAAAATTGGATTCTAGTCATACTCCATCTTTTAATCTTATTTTTTTATTTTTTTATTTTTTATTTTTTTCCCTATTAGTCCACCTTTTAATCAAGATATGCTCTTATTTGTGAACCAAGGTCTCGTATGATAATTTGTTTTCCATTAATTCCAAGTTAGTGCTGAAACATTGAATTAGAATTGAGATTGTTTTAGGAGACCTTTTAACCTTGGAGGCTCAATTCCTCCTTATATTTGGATTTATAGTTGGATTTATTGATTTAGGACTTCCACTCCAAATAAATTTTTAATTTTTTTGAAGCCCATGATTATATTTAACTTGATACTTAATTTGAATGATGATATATATATAAATATATTAAGCTGAAGCCAAAATATTTTAAAATTTACAAATAACATTCTTAGAATTAAATCACTAACATAAATTACCCACAAATAAAAAAGATGATGCACAAATCCAGGCTTACCGTTGATAGGGGTTGAGTAGCATAAATGACCTTAAAAACAAATCTAAAGAGAAACATCCACAAAATTAAAAAATACTCTAACGCGAAAGTCAACAATATTTAAGAGGCTTGAGAAAGTGTGTGTGGGTAGAGGAAAGTATCTTCGTAGTGTGTGGCATATTAACATAAACCTTTGGGATGTCAAATGTTGCCATCTTATTGGACCTCCCAAATCCATTACAATGCACTAGAATCTATGGAGGATAACGCATGTGCAATCCTTTGTGCTTGGACCTTTAGAACTTTATAGTTATAGTGGGCTTGTATTACCATCCCCGTACAAGAAGAATGAGAAGTCAAAGAATGTGAAGATCAATCTTATAGAATATCAAAGAATGTGGAGAACAAAAGTATTGAATGTCAAAGAGAATGAAGATTATACTACTGATAGAATGAGGAATATGAATTAAAAAGCGCCAATCACTTAAAATTAATCTTATTAGGGGAAAAAAAAAAAAAACTCTTTCACTATTGGCTGTTACGGTTTTTCTCTTTTCTAACAGGTGAGTACATCACTTAGGTAAATCTCCTTGTTTTGAGTGGCCCTTGTCCTAGCCTTCTCCGCTATCCCTCTACATGCCTTTAGGAGTTTCTCTATTCTCCTCTCTTTTCCTCTTTTCCTTTCTTTTGCCCTACCATTCTTTTGGTTTTAGCCCCAAAAAGGTTTGTTCTTCGATTCTTGGTTCCTGAAAGAATCTTGGGTGGTATAGCCAGTGCCTAGCCCTTCCTTGGTGTTGATTAACTATGAAGTGAAGGTATTAACACTTGAGGTGGTTTTAAGAGAGGGGGCTAGGGTTTATGGTGATGGGATTGTGTTGAACTCTTTTGATGATTTTGATGATAACAAAACCATTGGAAAAGTTTAGCAAGTTTTGTACAAGTATGTAGGACCAAAGGAAAAAATTTTAGAGATCAAACTTACACAAAATCAAGTTTTCATGCATTGGAACAATGACCTCCATTCATTCATTTAAAAAGATATATGTATAAAGTGAAAGTTTTGGTTCAAGAGCTAATTTATATGAAAGTAGGCATCCCAAACTTTCCAACAAGTATAAGAATGTTTAAAACAAAATTTGAATGAGAAAGATATGACGGGTTGAAGTTAAAGCAAAAAAAAAAAAAGGCTTAAAGGTTCAAATATAGTTTCCAAGATTCTACTCCTAAATTCCAGAGAGCTAAGAAAATTTTGGATCTTCGGCATGTTTGACTCTCCATTTGGAGAATTGACTCTTTGATCTCAAATTGGACTCTTAGTTTCAAGATTCAATTCTTGTACTTTTGGTTTGCTTGAGGAAAAATTGGCCAAATTTCATAAATTCATGAAGAGTCTACTCTTGGCTTAGAGAGTCGAATCTAGGCTTTATAAATTCGATTCTTGGTTTCCAGATTCGACTATTAACTGAACAATAATGGCTAGTTTTTCGAATCTAATACATCTACAGAGCATTTAATGCATCCCAATGGTTGTAAATGACTAGTTTTGACTTTAGTTCTACAAATATGATTGGTAAATATCTTGGAGAGCCTTTAGACACATATTAGAAGATTAAAAACAAGAGTTAAGCATAGATTTGCAAATCCTTTCAAGAGTTTGAGCTTACGCTTGCAAATTAGATCTTTGAGAGATCATATTCTTTTTAATCTTTCTTTCTACCCTTCAGTTTTTTTTTTTTTTTTGGTGATATTAGGAGTAAGTGAAGCTCTAAGAAGAGATACTTAAGGGTGAGTGAAGCCTTCAAGAGGGAAACCAATTAAGGTGTATTAGGGTTCTTTGTAAAGGGAGTTTTTGAGTGAAAAACACATTATAAAAAGACTGGGTAGCTCCTTTAAACTACTCTTAAGTGCTAGTGGAAAGTGTGGAGGAAATCTTTGATGAGTGAAGCCAAGGTAAAAGATTAGGTGCCAAGTGGTTAGACTGAACCTCTATAAAATCACTTGGGCAAGCTCTTCTTTTATACTCTCTTTATTTTCATTTAGTGATTGGAAAAAGAAGAAAAATTTGAAGACTCCAATTCAACCCCCTTAAAGTATTTAAGCCAACAGATTGTTGACCTTGGGGTGAAGAGCCATTGTTGATGGTTTACAGATTACCAAAAGCTTGTTGACGATTGAAAAGGTTGTCGTTGGTGCCTATGATTGGCTTTCAAGCTTGGGGCTGTTGATCTTGGGTCTTAGCATTTGAGTTCCAAGTGATTATCCAGGGCTACAATATGGTTGGGGATGTTGGAAACTTGGAATAGAAGGTAATCAACATTGACTCATTGGAGATGAAAATTGTAGCACCAAATTTGAAGGGAAAATAGATTAGACCCATTTGTGAAATGATCGAGTGTGCATTGGATGAAGGAGGCACTATTTCCCCTTTAGGATAATTGTTTATAGATGTGGTGGGACTATCTATGGGTAGGGATTGTTGATAGCCAAAGTACTTGTTATTTCTTGAAGCTAGTATAACAATTGAGAATGTCTTATAACTTAGGATGTTCATAATGACCTCTTCCTTACATTCACATTAGTAGCTCTATTTATATCCATATGACGTTTGTCAATGAAATCTCTATGTGAAAATAGCTCCCTATATTTAATTATTTACATCTATCATGGTATAGTTTAAGTCTGTATTTGATGCTCTAAGATATATTTTTTGTTGGCTATGAATGCCATGATATAAAAATTCATATATAATCTCAACTGCATTTATTTTAATATGATCTCTCTTTTGTATCAAAATGATTAATTCTATTCAACAAAGAAATCCCAAGAATGAGTCAATGAAGGTCAGGGAATTTTACTTACAATCACGATGTTTTATTAAGATTTTTCTAATATGTACATGAATGCATTAATTAAATATTTTTTTATTAATCTATATGAGAAAATAATAAAGTGCATTTTATTTTCAACACTAATGCCACTAGATGTTTTTAATTAAGTAGTTGATAAAATTAATATTAATTTTTATTTTTTTATTAAATTAATAAAGAGTTTATCTAAACCTGAGCCTTTAAAATGCATTAATTACACTTTTTTTCAATTAGCTTAAATAAAGAACATAAAAGTTAATTTTATTTTAGGATGTTGATTGGTACACATTTGGATTGTCACCCCCTGTCACACACTGTTTAAATTCATTACCATTCATACTGCATTGGTTTATTTGACATTCATTCGCTGCTTTTTAAAGCTTTCTCCAAAATCATGAAAAGAGACCTTGATGTGTACTTGATCGTCATTGGATTTGGGCCATGCGAGTAGCAATATAGGGAGACGGGTTCTCATGTTTTGGTCAAAAGGAAGAAACTCAAAGTTGAGTTGGTCCTCCACAAGTCTTTTATCACAATTTCGAATGGCAATTCCAAACCCACAATACTAGGGAAAAACACTATGTAGAACAATCAAAATCAAGAGGTTACAAGTAAAGTCAACATTAATAAACCATAGATTTAGAACAAACTTAGCATTTTATTGCACAAAATGCATTGAAATTACATGAGAGACAAAAATAGGGAATAGAAGGGGAAGTTACCTAAGGCTTGAGGGGTCCTCCTACCCGCAGTTGTTCCTCTTCTTCACTTAATCCCACAATGGAGGAAAACTCCAAAAATCAGCAGCTAAAAACCTTTGGTTTCCTTTCTTTGTTTTTATCTTTCCTGATTCCCTATACAGAAAATCCTCTTTTTTTTTTTTTGTTTTGTCAGCTCACCCCCTGTTTTTGTCGACTAAAACCCCTTCAAAATCTCCCCAGATCCCCCCTCCCTATTTATACAATAAATCCCCAGAAGCCCTACAATTTCTATCTATTTCATCTCACCTATTCCTTTTCCTTTTTCTCCTCTCCAACCTTGGATCATACAAGGCCAAAATGGTCCCCTTTTGCTCTTTTCTAACCATGGTTGTTTTCTGCAAGAGAAGAAAGGATGCAACCAAGAAAATTGCTAGAATTATGTGTCTTTCACATGCTTTTAACTGATGGCGAGGTTGTCTAGTTGGTAATGGGGAAGGGACAAGCCAAAATAAGAATGGGATCTATGAATCCTTCTCCACTCAAAACCCTTTACAATGGGATCAATATTTTCGTGGATCCAACACTCAAACCCCAAGGACTCCATCTTACTCTCAAGATGACAACGATGAGTGGGACTCTTGTTATGGCATCAAGATTTTCCAACATCAAAGGAATTATTGTCGTCGA